AGAACAAGAAAAAAACCTTTATTATGCTTTTTGTGTATTTTTGGGGTGTCCTGCAAAACCAAGATGAACATTTTTAAAAGGAGCTGCAGACAGTAACTTTTTCTGTTGGCACAAACAGAGCAGAAACAAGTCTCATCTTAAGCTGTCATGACCGCTGCCAAGGACTATCTGTCTGACATGCAAGGAGGAAAATGCAAGTGTCTCTGTGCATACATTTACCGAAGCCACGTAGGGCTGCAACAAACAAGTATCATTAATCTGTTGTGCCTGAAAAAATATCCTTTATCCTCCACAACTCTTCAGAGCTAACGCTGAAATCCCAAAATGTTTTATCTCGACCAATAAGTTAAAATACATTTGAACTGATTTACATTTATTACAATGTACTAGAAAATCACCAAATACTTTCATGATAGAAAATACAGCAATAAAGTAACTGACATCGTTTAACCTTTTCTTTGATTTCTTAACTCTTTATATCTGTCACCTGGTTTCTTAATTTCAACTCTAGTGCTATGACTTCCATTTTAAAGGTGGTGACATAAATCAGACAGATCCTCAAAGATAGTAAAGTTCTTTAAAAAATATTCTTCCGTTTGAGGTATATGTGGATCCATAGGGACATACTGTACTGTGTATATAGTGTTTCAGACTTGTAGGCTTCAGCAAGATTGCAGCGATTAATGCGCAAAATAATTACCTGTATCTCCTGAACAGCTCGTCGCTTTCCTTGAAGCCGTTGTTGAGCAGCATGTTAATGCCTTGCAGAGCCATCTCAGCATCATCTATGTGCTCTGCCTTCTCCTCTACCTGCTGCTGCTGCTGCTGCTGGGACTGCTCGGGACCCGCCATTGTTTATACCACAGCTCAGCGGCTGTTGGCTCAAACCAACGCAATAAAGAACAAAAAACGATGTTGTTTCTTCCGTCAGCCAAACCCGCATTGGTTTATTTCCACTGAGATAAGAGAACACGTTGAACAGAGACGCGCCAGCGGCCGGCTAAAAAAAAAAAAAAAAAAAAAAAAAAAGATGTGCAGCTTCCGCAGGCTCCAGACGTCTGTGCACCTCAGGGATGGGCACCGATGTCCCAGTCAGGCTCTATTACACTGCACTCTTACAGTTTACATTTAGCATTGTAGTTGTAAGCTTAGTCAAACGCCGGCACGCGGTTATTTGTTACCAAATCAGCCATCCGTCAGTTTTTCCTCCAGATCTTGAGATCCGTGCAGCAACACCCGATGCATTACATAACGCGGCTGCTGTGCTGCTCTGACAGCCCCACGTAATGCGCTCGTCAAACGGCCTGGCGTCATAACGCACAGCGCATCGCCGGGAGGATGAAGGGATGAGGGGTGGTGAGGCCTGCTCAAGCTGAATCCTGTCAGCCTCCATCCCTCACACTCACCCCACGCCCACAGACAGCCAAAGCCAGCAGCAGCCTGCAGTGATGACAGGTGAGGAGGATCACATCTGTCGGATTTGCGCACGAGATTTTTATTTTTTTAAATACTTGTCAGGATCGGCGCAGATGTGTGCTCAAAACTGATTCGGTTTTAAAAAAAAAGTGTAAATCTGCATTTTTAAGTTAAATCCGTTTCATTGTAAAATACAATCAAACAAATAATAGATTATTGTAGCGCTTTTACCCTACAGTATAAAGTGCCTTGAGTTGACTCCTGTTGTGATTTTCGTTATATAAATAAAGTTTAATTGAATTAATTTTAAAAGTGATATTGGTCATCATATCTATTACTATACTATATTCAGACATTCAAATAAGCCCCCTGAAATATGTTAAATGAAATATTTAAATGGAGCTGAAAAAAATCTATCTCAAACATGAGTATGAAAATGCCTTTAAAAGAAAAAGTATCAGTATTAGTAGGGGAGACCGGGGATAGTTGTAACATTTTT